CACACACACACACACACACACACACACACACACACACACACACACACACACACACACAGACCAACACTCACTGTCTGTCTTCATTTTCAATATCTATTAAACACTTTACTTTATTCTACAGATTAATTTCCTTTCATTAGCTATTGATTAAAAATGTGTGCATGGACTTGCATGTCCTCTGTGTCCCACCTGCTGTCCCTCATATTTTCTGTCCTGGGGAAAATGTTGGTTTTCAGGGCGTCCCACCTCTTGCTCTACACCATTTAGTTTCCTGTTGCTCTCAGCTGTAGATGGCCGCAAACCCTGGAGATAATGGATATGATCTAAGAATGTATGTTGGGATATAGCTGCTAAGTGAAACAAATAAACTATTCATGTACTAGAGGAAAGTCCTTTAAATGGTTTAATAAATAATGTATTCCCAGTCTATAGAGCACCCCTCACTATAAATCACACCAACAAAGTTTTTTTCCAGCTCCATCTTTTTTTTTTTTTTTTTTTCCATTGCCATTACACTGTCACAAGTACAGAGCAACAAAATGAACTATTTGCATTTAACGCATCCCATTGGGGAGCAGTGGGCTGCCATTGTGCAGCGCCCAGGGAGCAGTGTGGATTTAAGGGTTTTTGCTCAGGGACCCAGAGTGGCAGTCTCTAAGTTACTAAGCTGCCAGTCCACTGAAAAACTGGAACCAAAATCTTTAACCAATCTGATTGATCTGACTGAATTGTCCCAGTAAAGTGAATTGAGATGATGTATATTGTTTTTAATTGGTGCTTTAATATTACCTGAATTTAACAAAGTTGAAAAATTCATGGTAAATGTGAACACCACACAGTCAGTCCTTGGTGGCTGGTTTCCTGCAGGTTTTAGATGATTTCCCGCTTTAACACACCTAAATCAGATGATTAATGTTCAGCAAACGGCTGGTATTTAGTCATCAATCGATACAGCATATAATAGTTGCTAAAGCCTGAAAACATTGAAAACAGGAAGGACAGCTGTCATCAAGGACTGACTTTGAATTCCCCTCATTTAGACTCTACAAAAGTCTCTCCCAATACAAAATAAGCTTCTGCTTTTAAGGGAATTTGATTATCTTAAAGATCCAGTTGTTTATAACTTTCAAAGCTTCTGATTAACACAGCATATTTTAATTATTTCCTCTATTTGTTGATCCAGACACACTGCATATGGAATGTTTGTTTAAAAACAGTCCATGATGGATTCCAAATTGATCCAGTCATATGATCATTTATTAATTCTAGTAACAAATGTCAGAGTTCAACGTGTTTTCTGAAGGTAGTCCTAAATTCTATCGTCTGAAAAATGTAAAAACCAGAAACAGAATCAGAACCAAACAAGCTCACTGCTGAGTTCCTTAATGATACAAGTTAATCTGCTGAGCTTAGTCTTACCAGCTGTTTCTCTGCTCTCAGTTTATACAGGTTGGCCTCCTGTTTCCTCTGCAGGTATTCGTTACGAGCTGCAGCCACACTAACAGACAGGACAGGTGAGGGTGAGGAGGGGTGACAATGGTACCAGTCAAGTAACTAGGATTCTAAATTTTATCAAAACACAATTAAACTCACTAATACTTCTAATTAGCAATACAACAGTTTGAAAACAAGTAAGTCCTGCTTCAATTAAATGGTTTCTGACTTCGCTGTAGCAAATCTAGATTGAATTCATTACTAAACACTAACTTAGATTAATCAATTTCTACATAAAAACCTATTTCCTGATATTCATGACAATCATGTAAAGGGTTTTTGTAGAACTTCAGTGTTTCTTATTGTGTTGCATACAGTTGGTAGGGTTCCACAGGACGACCATCTTGTTCATCATCGTGTGGCTTCACATCCATGACTGGACCCTGAGGGGCAGCAGCTGGATTAGGAGCTACAGGTGGAGCACCAGCAGGAACGTCTTTATTTCTCTGCTGAAAGACATCCAGCTGAGCGTGGTAGTGCTGGTAGTGGTTTTCAGCTTGCCGCCCATCAAATCTGTAGCCAGAGATATGAGATGGATTTGTCTGAGAATCTTGGTCCTCCAGCAATGGCTGAATTATGATCATTGCTCTCTCCTCAGGACAACTTTCTGATTTCTTCAAAGGCCTTTAGAGGTTCACCATGAGCTATTAACTTTTATAAACAGTTCAGATGGCAGACATTTTAATGAGTTTAGAGTAGGTTTTACTTCCTACTTACTTCTGAATCCCTGCAAACCTTCTGTCTGCAGCTGGTTTGGCCGCTCTTTGATGAAGAGGCTGCAACAATAAAAAATGTAAATAGCAGAAATGCAGTTAACCCTGTTGTAGAACTATGAGGCTTTCTTTATAACTTACTCTGTGTTGAGGGGGGTTGTTCACTCGGATAGGGACCCTATAGTCAGGCTTACCAGGCGGTCTTCTGCCTGCTGCCCCAGGCCTTTCTGCTCCTCTGGCTTTCTGTCCCTTTACTGAACAACAGTGTAGGGAAAAAGTGTGTTTTTTGTCATTTCTTTCCGGTCTCTATCACTCTGTAAATCTCTGTTATTAAAAATATAATTTTTTCACATTTAGAGACCTTGAGCAGTAGAACATTTGTTGTTTTTTTTTAACTGTACTGTTTTTAAATGTCTAAGTTTTGTTTTCCTCCACTAAACTATATATTTAATGTAAGATGGCCAACAAACTCCACCAGAAATGAATCTAGTGGAATTACAGCATCAGAGGTCAATGAGCTCTTGCAGATCTGTATCAGAATAAACAAAGCGAATAATGTTCATGAGTTTGCAGGCTGTTCTTTGTACCTGCAGCGTTTTCTGCTCCTGTTCTTATTTTAACAGTTTCAGATGCAGCTGCAAATCTGTTTCGATGTGAAGCCATGTGGTTAAACTCATCTTGCCTCATCTGCAAACAGAAACCACACGCATACCAATAAACATATGTACACACTGACAGCTCGTAGGAAACAGTTTTCACAAAAGCTAATAATATTCATTTTGTTTTATAAGAACCAAAACAGCGTCTAAACTCCTCAGTGTGAATCCAGTTGCAAAAAGCATCATGAAGACCAAGGAAGGCAACAGATAAGTCTGGGATGAAGTTTAAAGCAGGATTAGGTTATAACACTATATTCTAAGCTTTGAACATCTCACAGAGCTCCGTTTAACCCTGCATCTGAATGGGGAATCAGTATGACAGCCCTGTAATTATACCAAGAAAAGGCTGTCCACTGATACTAATAAGCAAGGAGAGCATTAAGTTAAACTGGTTAAACATGTGGCATCATAATGCTGTGGGAATATTTTCTTTAAGACACTCTATAGTTACATAGGCTTAGACTACTCGAGGGAATAGAGACCCCTTTTAATCATTTTATCTTCACTCCATTCTCCCATTCTGCAGTATTTGTTAGTTCAGTTCTGACTTTATGCTCTCTCTGCTTTTTCTCATAGCAGCTTCATCTGGTCTGTTCCTGTTTGGCAGTGACACAATCCCAGAGAGAAAAATCAGCTGTGCTGCTGCCATCAACATCTTTGTTCATAGATGTTGGAGCTTAGCCTGTTTGTCAGTGGAGTTCTGTTTCCTCATGCGTCCTCCCCCTGGCCACCTTTTCCTCCTTTTGCCATCTTCTTTATCTAGATGATATTGAGCCAATGTTACGAGTACATTTCTCCACTGTGAGATCAAGCTAACCAGCTAACAATCTGCATTTGGCTCCCTTCTCATCGGCAAAAACAGCTGGCCGCTGGTAAGCTGCATGGCCCCTCCCCCCCCCCGCCGCTGCATGTCTGGTGACACCATCATGCAGAGTTAGCATACAACATGTAAGGAAGCCAGGGCGTTGATACAGTTGGTTTTTCTAAGAAAACTTTAGATGAATTTTACTATATGATCTGGTTTAATTGTCTCTGTAAAGTGGCCTGAGATTAATTGTTGTGAGTTGATGCTATATAAATAAATTGAATTGAACTGAACTGAGTCTGCAAAATACCTGAGACTGAGCTGGAAGTTCCACTTCTGGATAATAATAACCTGAAACCGAACATACACACTATATATACTTTCAAGATTATTGTATTATATGTCTAACCTCACAATTATGGACAATTTGTGCTCATACCAATTTAGAGAATTGGATAAAATATGGCAAAACTGCTACAGTATGATTGCTTTGCATTTCCATGCCAGGATTTTTTCTAAATGTTTTCTTTGTCTTATCTTCTATAACTTTATCTTCTCAGCTCCTTCACTGAGATGATGGCCTTATCAATTACTCAAGAAATGAATCCAACCTTTTACCTGAGTGTTGAGATGTCTGCTGATGTGCTTTTCCAAGAATGGCCGACGGAGGACTGAGCTCACTGAGGGACGGTCACGGGGGTTGACCTGAAAGAAAACAGCCACCTGTTTTCTACTTTATTATTTCCTAACAATTCCACTCAAACAGTAGGTCATCAAGTTAGAAAAGAGTTAATATTTTCTCATAACTAGAACACCTATTTTCTTAAACAATCTTTTTATCGATAAGAAAATTTGTATAGCAAGGATAAACCAATATTGTTAATGTATTTTTAAAAAAGGTAACTTTTATCCAGTAATCCAGATCATGGATCTTTATTTTAAGTCCCATCATTGGTCACCTGCATGCTAGACATTAAATTCATGCTTTGGGATTTAAAACCTCCATCTGGGTTTGTGGTCAAAACAAAAACCCAAATTGTATGTAAAAAATCAACCCAGACCAAAGTTGACTCAAAGTAGTTTTCATTGTTTACTGAAGAAAAGAGGAGAGTAGAAACTGTGCGTTCGGTGTATTTCTAATGACAGAGGAGATGGCTGCAGCGCCCACAGAGGACAATGGGGACTCTATCATGAGAAGCTCGGGCTGATACCGAAGGACGAAGTCACATTGACATATGCACCTCCTTCGATTCCTGATTCTGACTAATCCAACCTGTTGCTTCTAAGGTTCAGATAAGAAAGAATTACTATATTCCCATTTAACCAGTTCTTTCATTCCCATAATTGGCTGCTAAATTGTACCGAATTTTAAATTAAAAAAAAATGTCTATAGGAAATGTCCAATTTGGAAATATTGCTTAAAGGTATAGTGGAGGATTTTCACGAAGTTTTGAAAAACCCGCCCTCTCCACTTTAAAGAAATGCTCCTGCACTACTCTGTACCCGCTCCCAAGAGGGATCCCCTGTTAAACACATGCAAGAGCATGCAGGAACCCAATACTCCTTATGCATGTTTAGAAGTTGCTGTTTGCACCACTCATACAGGCTAAAAAAAAAGATTTGCAATTTTTCCACTATGTCAGACTCATGAGCGGTAAGACAAAATGGGGACGAGCATGAAGGATGGCCTTACGTAAACATATAACCAGAATGATTAACAATTAGGAGGACTTTAAAATAGAAATGAGAAAAACTGGGAAACTCTGAATTCAGAAATCTCTAACAATAAACCAAACCATGCAAGAGGACCATAATTCTGCCCTTTACCAGCAGTAAAGCTTTGGTTTAAAGGTATTTGCATTGCAGGTGTATGGCAGGTGTGAATGTGTTTAAATGGGCTAAACTCCTAAAACTGATCTTATTTTGTAGGTTTGTTACAGAGTAAACTAACAATAATACATTGGGGACTTTACTGACATAAAAAAAAAAAAAAAATTAACTAAACTTTCACCTCTGTACAGTGAGTCATTTTGATCCTAATAAACCCAGGATGAAATTTTGCTTCATACTCTTGTTAACAGCTGATTAAAACGCTCTTGTTACGACTGTGTAACCTCAGTTTTCTGTGTCAGATGTAAATGCTGCAAGAAAGAGGATGAGTGTTTGTGACCTTGAAGAGCTGGGTAACTAGCAGGCGAAGGTCGTGGGAGTAGCGGCTGGGTACAGGTGTGTAGCGGCCTCTGCAGATTTTACTGACCAGCTGCCTCAGACTGCTGCCCTCAAACTGTGGTCAGAAACCGAACATTAGGTAACAGGAAACTCTGTCAGCCAAATCAGCTTCACTGATAGCTTAGCGATGGGGAGCTGTTCAGGTAAAGCACTCAGTAGAGAGGCGGAACTTACTGGATGTTTCAGGCTGCAGAGTTCGTAGAGGACACAACCCAGAGACCAGATATCTCTGCAGAAGCAAAACCAAAAACAAAAGCTGACTTTTATCAAAATCAGTCACTTTAATAGAAATGCTTCCTGATTATAAGTGCACTGTTTCCCAAACATCCGCCGAAAAGAGAAAGGAATGAGTCCAACAGATTCACTGAGTGGATGTTTGAGGTCATTATACAACACCACATTCGTTACATCTTACATATCATGCTTCCTGTTGAAAAAGCTCACACCCTCTAAGCCTGAAGGAAAAAAAACAAATTGAGATCAGATAACTGAGCTCGCCTTGGGTTAAAAAAAAAAAATCTTGTGAAAAAATGCTCTGTTTTCTGTTTTGGTTTAGACTTGTAGAATAGACCTGCACTTTGAGTATTTGTGGGAACCTGACGACATTTTAGGCCTAGAAAAACAGGTCATTTTAAACTATGAAGGAAAACTGTTTATGTGTCTTTTGTAGATTGAGCTAAAAAGCGTGCAAAAAATTTAAATAACAGCGCAGGTTAAATCAAACATCTCTGTGAGAGGAAGCAACTCTGACATCAGCATTAGAAAACAAGACGACAGGAAAGAGCAGCTGAGAAAACCAGAAGAGAAGCAGCGTCATTAATCTGTTAAATGCAAGAATTTGGCCAGCAGGGCACAGAAATGTGTTTCACTCTCTTTGTCTACACATGTTTTCGAAATTAAAATCCCCTCTGGGTGAGCAGCAGCTCTCTTAGATCATAAAAACAGAATTACACAACTATGGCTTATCATTACGCCCACATTGAAAGATCAACAGTGATAAACATGAAATGAACTCATTTGATACAATGTTCACAAAACTCCTCCCCTGTTGAGCAGAGGTGGAACCAGATGGGGGGCCAGGGGTGGCCATGGCAACCCTTAACCAATCATTGGCCGTCCCGATGGCCACTCCTACCAGGTGATCTAATGTGGACATAATTCACAGCATCTTCTCTCTACAGGCGGCGGCAGCAGTAATACTCTTAAATGGAATGTTCTAACTAATTTTACAGTTTTGGAAAAATGTGCAAACAGATAAAAAATATTTTGGGCACTCATTTAGATCTGGATATATCTGTATATATTTCAGGAATAATCCCTGCAGACATGATCGACAGAGACAATAAATATTTGATCAGAGTTCTGCTGTGTATAACATGTGCTTGGTTAAGACCACAACCTCCCAGCATTACACAGTGGAGAGATGGGAAATGCAACATCAAGATGGAGGCCTTTTAAACAAAGTGGAGACCTATAACTTTCCAAAAAGTTTAAAAAACAATCCACTGGAATTTGTTTCCAAGTTTGAAGACGTTTCGCTTCCGGTTATGGTATATGGCATACACCATAACATACGTCTGTTATCAGTCTGCTCGACTTGTGAATTGGAACATTACTAGGGCTAAGGCTGATGATGTTTCACGAGCTCACGGGCACATGAAAATGCACAAGCACACATATTGAGAAACGGCCTCTGAAAGGTGATCCAGGAAGCTTTTTCAATTTAAAATGTCAGAAATAGCTCGAGTTCGAGGTTTTATACAGTAGCCCAACAAAGCCTTGTTTTTGCTTAGAAAACATGCACATTTAAATGGACGAACAGGTCCAGCCCTTTGGAATTGGGGACATTTGGTTTCTTTGTTAGCCTGTAATGCCGAATACCAGTCTATGTCTCTAGCTACTCAATTCACAAGAACGAGAGTATGAACTTGTGTCCTCGCCAAGTATGCTCTTGAGAAGAACACAGGAAAGTGTGGACTCTGGGAGTAAGGGAGCACGCAGCAAAAATCTGGATCAATTGGAACAGAAGCGTACTTGTGATGTCACCACACGCTCGATACGTCTGGAGCTGCATTTCACCTCCTGTTATTAATAGTCTCTAGATAATAATAATAAATTCTTTTTTTTTTTCATTTAGTGGGTGGTTAATAATTAACACAGTCAGATAAACACAAATCAAATGCACATTTTACCAATTAAAACAAAGAACTTGCCATCAGAGCCAGCGGTACTTCACACACGGCTATGCAGAGAGAGGGCTGCTATAGACAGTCTATGATTAGCCCTGGCTGCAGTTGCCCTTGGAGGTCCGCTGGTTGCTACGGTCCTCTCAACTTCAGACATTTTTTTTTTTTATCATGCACTAAATCAGTAAATAAGCCATATAGTGATGCTTAAAAGTATAATGTTCTCACATCAAATTATCCTAAAATGTACCTTTAATAAACAACAGTAACAGAAAGAGAACTTTTAACTTAATACTCTGAGCTCTGTGAGCGCTCCATTGGAAGCTGCTATTGTCGCAGTGCATGCTGGGACAGCTATCAATCTCAAGAACGGACAAAGTCTTCTCTGATACATACTCAGTAAAGAGGGAGGGGCGAGGTCAACATCCGGGGACTTTGTCTGTTCTCGGTCTGCTCATCTTGTGAATTGGAACATTACTAGGGCTGAGGCTGATGATGTTTCACAAGTACACAAGCACATGAGAATGCACAAGCACACATATTGAGAAACTGCCTCTGAAAGGGGGGTCGTTAAAGGAAATTGTTGGCCTGGCTGAATAGGCGAGGTTTTCTGTTCCCCTGTAAAGTGGTTGGGGTTGTGATGATAGTGGGAAGGGATCAGCTCAATTGCTGCATTGTAGGTTTTTGAAAGCTGAAACCTGAGTCCAACCCCTCTGTTTAAGGTTGGTCTTTCCTTCCTTCCTTCCTTCCTTCCTTCCTTCCTTCCTTCCTTCCTTCCTTCCTTCCTTCCTTCCTTTCGTATAAGTTTTTCTTAATGGGAACAATGTCTATTTTAAGGAAATTAATCATCACCAACCCCTGGATAACTTTTGGCAGAGCAGGAACTTAAAAGCCTTGTTGCTTAGTGTAGGTAAAATGTCTAAAATCATCTGTATAAACAAAATGTTAAGATACGAAATGTGAAATGTGACCAGAGTGGACATGTGTATATGTTGATAAAAACAGTTACTGAAAATAAAAAGTTCCAAAAACAAATTGAGTGAAATGTTGTTTTTCTTTTTGTCCTGACTGTTTAAGACAGTGGTTCCCAAAGTGTGGGGCGCGCCCCCTAGGGGGGGCGCAATGCCATTGCAGGGGGGGTGCGGGAAGCGGTATGGATGAATGAAGAAAAAAAAAAAAAAAAAAAAACAGCGCTTGCTTGACTGAGCATAATGGACAGTTGTGACACTGCAACCCAGATTTGAGAAGATCTACAGCAAAAAGCAGGCTAACTACAGCCACTGAAAAGATGGGAGGATTAAAGTACAAAGAAAAAACTCAGGGTGTAGTTTGTTTTGTTGCAACCTGAAGTGTGAAATAAACTTCAG